TGAGACCATGAGACCATTGTGTAGCCTCCTCAAAAATCGTTTCACGTATCTCCCATGTATTTCTATTCAAGTGTCAACCAACGATTGCATGGGCATGGGCTGCATCATTCGCGCTTGGCAGCTTTATCACCTGTTTTTTGCGGTACGTACTCCAATTCTTACTCCAATTCTTACTCAGATTCTTACTCCAACACCCCAACTTGTCCCCTTCCCTGGTCTCTTTTTTTTCCCACACAGCATACATGTTTCCTTACCACCCCCATCCCATACTACTCCGCTCTGGCAACCCAAAACTCGCCCCGTGAACTCACCTTTGCCCCTGCAGTTTAGCTGCCAGTGCTTCGCACAGCAGCATATCCAGCACCCCGTACTTGTCCCCGTCCCCGCCGCCTCCCGCCGCCGCTGCTAGCGCCGCCGCAGCTGCCGCCGCGGAAGGAGAAGGGCCTCCCGCAGGCCGCGGAAGCTGAAGCGGGGACTGCTGCGCGCGCTGGAGCAGCTGCTGCTGCGCCTGCGCCTGCTGTTGCTGCTGCTGGCGCGGGCGGGGCTGCGGGGGCGTTCCGCGCGGAGCAGTGGCCTGAAACGAAACAGGCAATACCAGACGTACAGTAAAGCGGCACGCAATAAAGAGGCACGCAATAAAGAGGCAGGCGATAAAGAGGCACGCAATAACGAGGTACGCAATAACGAGGTACGCAATACGCCATACGCAGAAGGCGAGCTTGCCTGCGTTTGCCACCCATGAAACCTAATTTTCTCTGCAGCAAAAACTCATAAACACGCGTGCGAAAAGCAACGCACATTCATAGATACATTGCGAACAGAACCCTCACAGATACGTTGCGCCAAAGTAACACACTCGTACAAACGCTGCGCGTACCTGCCCTAGCGCGCCGAGCAGCTGGTTCAGCAGCGCATTCTGCCTTGGCGAATCGCCAACCACTCCCAGCCCCCCTCCCCCTCCTCCTGGCCCTGCTGCTGCTCCTGCTCCTGCCCCCCCACCTCCTCCTCCCCCTCCCCCACCCCCACGTGCTACCCCTCCTCCTCCTCCTCCCCCTCCCCCTCCTCCGCCTCCCCCTCCTCCTGTGAGGGCCGTTACGAGCTGATCCAGCAACTGCTGCTGTTGCTGCTGCTCGTCCAGTTGCATTCGCTGCGGCTGCTGCGGCGGCAATCGCTGTCCCATTTGCTGCTGCTGTCGCTGCTGCTGCTGCCGCTGTTGCTGCTGTTGAAGGAGCGGGTTTGGCGGGGTCGACGGCGATCGCGCCACGCCGGTTACCGCCTGAAGCTCCGCTAAGAGCTGAAGTCTCGCTACTATGTCTTGCACTGACGGGGATGGCGGGGTGCTGGGAGTCCCGGGGGTCCCAGGCGCAGCCAATGCCCCCAACGCCGCGGCAATTGCCGCCGCGTTCGTCCCGCCACCCCTTCCCCCCGCTCCGCTCAACCCGCTCGTTCCGCCAGCCCTTCCGCTTCCGCGTCCCCCCCCGCCAAGCCCGCCGAGGGCGGCGGCGAGGCTGGCTAGTGACTGCCCCTGCTGCCCCCCCCGCGTGACGCTGGCGAGAAGCTGGTCTAGACCGGGGGAGCCGGTTCCGCCCATGGAAAAGGGCGACACGGGGGAGGTTGGCGTGCGCGCGGAAACGTCCGCGGAGCGGAGCTGCACCTGGAGGTTCATGGAGGAGAGGGGGGAATGAGGGGAAGCCACTCCGCCGATTGCGGCGTTAGAGGCGCCAGCACCGCCGAGAAGCGAGGTGAGCTCGTGTAATACGGATTGTATCTGCTGATCCTGGGGAGACGAGCGTTGCTGCTGCTGCTGCTGCTGCTGTTGTTGTGGTGACTGCCGTTGCTGCTGTAGCAGCTGCTGCTCCGGCTGCCGGCGCTGCTGGTTCTGGTTTTGCTGATTTTGGTTCTGCTGGTTTCCCTGCTGCCGCTGGAGCTCTTGCAGCAGCTGCTGCAGCTGAAGCACGTCCTGGAGAATAGAAACAAACGAGAAAATGTGAAGTAGAAAAATAAATTCAAATATAAAATAAAACAGCACGAAAGATACAGGAAAGAAAGGCATGACAAAAAAAAATGAAACGTAGTTTGCAGCAAACGAAAAAAAAAAGCCAAGAGATTTGGTACGGCATGCAATCTGAAGTGAACATGGAAAGAGGCGGAGATTTGTGGAGCTTACTTGTGGCGTGCTTCCCATCGCGTTCCAGCTTATTCTGTTGTCGACTGCTGTTGTCGATTGCTGTTGCGTTCTCTAGGTCCCTCACGAAGTGGTTTCTTCGACTGTTATTCCCTTTCTTAGCGCCTCAAACTCGTTTCTTTGTCTGCTGCTAGCGTTCTAAAGGCCAACGTGGTAACAGCAAGCTTCGAGTGGGCTCTAGTGGGCCCACACACAAGTTATTCAATAATCTCTGAATATTTATGGCTGAATAATAAATACTGCTTCATGTTACGTGGTGCAGAAACCTATATGGCGCGTGCTGCTGCCAGCAACGACGGAGAGCATTTAAGCTCCGCAAAACACGCCTTAAAGGTCCAGTGGATCGAGAAGAGGCAACATCTACGGCAACATCTAGGAAAATAGGAGGACGGCACCGAACGCACTGGAACGCGCATTAGCATAAAATAGCGGCACTGCATGCTCCGAAACGCGGGGCTGAGAGTATCACAGCTTCAGTCCCACGATGATTCGTGTCGTAGGAAGGAGGTAACGCTGACCTTCTAAGAAAGGATATAAATATGGCTCAAAGACTGTTAGGCACACTGCTTCTGACCAGCCATACTTTTTGCCAGCCTGACATTCCATCACGTTTGGAAGTTGGTACTTTTCAGACGACCGTACAGTAATATGCTTTGCCAAAGAGGCAACGATGGGAAAGGTTCAGCAACGAGGAAACAGGTTCAGCAAAATTGTGGTTCAGAGCAGCAGATGCATTTGACGAACACCGATCCCGATGTTGGGCTTCCCCTTGAAAAAGTCCTGCTTTTTTGGGACCTTCGCACCACAGAAGGACTGGTGAGAGTACTTCCCCTCAACAAATTACAGGGAAGGGTTATTCTTAGGCGGGTTTGAATGAAGTGGAGTGCAAACAAAATGGGCTAGGAGTGGTAAAGCATGTGTCCTTCACGCACGGAGGTCCTTCTTGAGCGTGTGTGCTGGTGTTGCCGTGCAATGAGGGCAAAGTTGAGAACTTAGGTCCACAGTTCGAGACCTGGTTGAGGCTGGATGTTGAATGTTAAATCAGTGTCCCTGTTTAGAAGGATTCCGGTTTAGCATTAGGAGTCCAGTTTCTTGCCCACATAATTCAGGTTCTTTGGGAAATAGACCTGCCAGGGTGCCACATGGCCCGACCAATCTTCAACTGACACTGCAGCAATTTCGTGGTCTAGGCCAGCCGAGACAAGGGATGGGAGCTTTCTTGGGCGACTTGGTTTGGGACCACTGTGATTGGTCTGGAAGATCACCCCAAACCATCAAACCACAAAAAGCCTGTGGTGGTGGTGAGGGAAGCGCTGAGCTGATCAAATCGAGGAGACAGGTTGAAGTGGGGGCAACACGCAGTGGCTGCTAAGGGCGTGTTCCACGAGTTCGTTTTAGGAGAAAAGCTTGTTTTTTACGTAACTTCGAGTCAGCAAAAGAGTGTACACTCTGACGAAAATAACACGCAGCGCGTCAGCACTGCGCCAAACGAATTTGGACCACGCGGACCCCAGCCCCGCCCTCACAAAACTCGTATTCCGAATCACATTTGACACGGGTCGCGAGCTGTAACCCGGGCCAGTTGCGAATCTACTGTGCCAAAAATGACGGAGCTCGCACAACCAGAAACATACAAACCAGACTGCCGACTCGCTTGCGACGCTCGTTTCTTTTCGCGCGAGTGAGGGTTGGGCGAATTACGCGGACCTGTTCGAGGTGATGGTTCGTAACTGGAAGCTGTTTTTGAACGTGTACATTACGCACCTTTTGACGTTTACAGCACGTCAGTGTCGCGCGTCATTGACGACGCATGTCTACAGTGGTCAAATTTGAAGGGTTACAAAGAGAAAATAGGGTTACAACACTGAACATGAACTGTAAACGAACGCGTGGGACACGCCCTAATTTGGTGGACAACCAAATGTCGGGCATGGAATACAGTAACTGAAATTAAATGTGAGGAACAGCTTTGGCGGCTGAGAATGCCCTTGAGAGTGTCGTTGACAGAAAGTCGTTCATGGTTGCCAATGGACGTGTGGTTGGTTGCGACAATTCCAGCAGCGTTGACGCCGTGTCGCTGTTTTTCGTCAGCGGAGGTGTACACAAGAGGTTTCGCCAAACAAAGTGGAAGCGTTTTGGTGCTCTCCAGCCTCCTACATAAAAATCATTACCTAATACTTAGCACAACTTTCACTAACTTCCATACCAGCTTGGGCCATCAACGCTGATAAGAGCGCGGGTCAGTAGAGAGTGCAGCCTTGAGGCCCACTTGGAGCAAGGGCGCGCTGATGCATGTGGTTGTGTCACTAAGCAGGACTGAAAGCACGACACGACAAAAAGGCATCTGTAACCATTGCTTGCATCTGCTCACTCACCTCTCCCTCAATTCCCAGACAAGCTCGTGAAGGGGATTGAGTGTTCGTGATCTAAGGAAAGTGTTTTCCGTAACGCTATGAAACGTGAAACACAGGTATATTTCAATATAATACATGAGGTCCCACTACTCACTTCATGCACAAAAAAAAAAAAAAAAAAAACCCGTAACACACGAGCAAACAAGCATAAGTATTGCACTACAGAGGCATTTATTTTCAAGTATAGAACATGTACTGTAATGCACAACAACATGAGAGCTTGGCACTTCAAAGCCTCTCACTACACGAGATTTCCGAAGCATAGCAATCCAGCACATCCAAATCTTATTCCAGGATATTCAAATAACCTTATCAGCCTATCCCCTTCAGGCTTCTCATTTTCAATGTCTTCAAGACTTATTACCAAGAAACCCCAATTACGAGTCATCCCCATGACAAATTCACCCCATAACAATGTCATCCCCATCACTGCCACAGCCCCAAAACAGCCCCATCAGCTCAGCATCCACGCCGGCCCCACACATCTCATATGGTACTTGTGCCTCCTTCCCTCCTGCCCCAATCTCTCCCCCCTGACCTGAGGCCTCTTCCAAACGCGCATCTTCATAATGCACCTCCCCCAGGTGCTGCGCCCCTGTCTGGAGCGGCTGTTGCGCTTTCCCCAGCTGCTGCCGCCCCGCTTGATGCGCCTGCAGCGCCGGATGCCCCTGAGCTTGCGCCTCCCCCAGACCCATCTCTCTCAGAGGAGCTTCCGCCGCTGCAGTCGCAGCCTCAAAGAAATCTTGCTGCCCGCCCAAACTGCCCGAAAGCTCCTCGAAATCATCCAAGAACGTGCCAGAGAGATCGCCTTCACCTCCCTGCGGGGAGGAAAGGTCCGCATGCGGAGCTCCGCCGTCGCTGCCTATAGTGTCTGCGGAAGCGGAAGCGGAAACAAGCTGCTCCGCTTCCGCGCCCCACTGGGGCTTGCCGTCCGCGGGTGACTCCATCACAATTTGCGCGCAAGCCGCGGTTTTCTGCGCCATTTCGATCACATTCCCCTTCCTCTTATCACCTCGTTCCGCCTGTTGTCTGTTCCGATCCGTGCCCGTCTGATGCGGCTGGAAAACCTGCTCTTCACGGACATAAGGGCTTCGTGCCTTCGCGCCACTCTCGTCCGCGTTAAGGAGATTTTCGATTTGCGTGATCTTGTTGAGAATCTTTGCAATGTGCAGCAGCATCTGAGCGTAGTCCCCCTTCAGCAGCTCGTAATCGTTCCGCATCTCGCAGCACTGCTCCGCCAATCCTGCGTGCGCCGCGCGCATCTTCCGCAGATCCGCCTCCCCCTGCTCCGCCTGCCACTCCAGCTGCCGCGTCTGGAACCACGCGGAGACCTGTCGGGGGAGAAGCCCCAGTTCCGCCGCGAGCTGCCACTGCCGCTCCGCGGACACAAGAATCTGCCCCGCCGCCTGCGCCTTACCCCCATCCGCGGATCTTTCCTGCACCGCTACCGCCGCCCGAAACTCCGCCTCAAGCCGCTGTACCTGTGAGGGCTGCGCGCGCTGGCGCTTGCGCGAATCCTCCGCTGGTGCCCCCGCAGGGGAGCTCATGCGCTGCGAGGAAAGCTGGGGGTTTTGCGGAACGAGGGGGGGCTTTACAGGGCTGCTGCAGGTGCTGTCGCTGTCGACCTCTTCGAGAAGCAGCGGAGACGGAGGAGGCGCGAGATGCGGGAATGCGCGGGAGGCGGACAGGCACTGCGCGGATTGCAGCACGGAGATTGGGGTCGGCGGAAGGCCAGGCGGTAGCGAAAACGCATCATCGTTCTCGTCCCATGGAGTCAGACGGCGCTTGCAACCGCGCGGGGCGGAAGAAGGCGTCGGGGGGGTGCACATCTCGGCGGAAGGGGGAACAGAGAGAGCAGACGGCGGAGCGGAGAGAGCGGAGGGGGGAGCGGAGATGGCAGAAAGGGGAGCGGAGAGAGCGGAGGGGAGAGCGGAGAGAGCAGAAAGGGGAGCGGAGAGAGCGGACGGGAGAGCGGAGAGAGCAGAAAGGGGAGTGGAGAGAGAGGAACAGGGAGCAAACGCCGCAACTGTGAGAACCTTATGGTCCGCGGTTCGAGCGGGCGGCGCGCAATGCAGAAGTGTGGAGGGAGAAGAGAAGATATCCCCAACCAGGTTGCCGTCTCGCGGGTGCTTCGTGCCTTGCTTCGTCGCCGCAGGTGCGGTTGTCGTCGCGATTGCGCCGGCGGTACCTGCGGCGGCGGCTGCGATTTTTGCGATATCTAGCATTGGCGAAGCGGTGGCTGCCGCCATGTCGCAACGGCCGAATAAGTATATGCGATTCAGTGCGGAAAGCTTGTCGACAACCTCTATTGAAAGTTATCAGCAAGGCCGGTTACACCTTCTGGGATTGGATTATTCCACCCTTTCTCCCTACGGTCAAGTGACGCAAGAAACGAGATATACACTCATGAATCATCTCACTCATTTTCAAATCTGATTAGGTGAGGATCAAGAACGGCCACGTGGGAAGTTACTTCAACGACCTCCTTCCTAAGATTTCAACGCAAGTGCTCCGCGTGAGGGCTTGAAGCACTGGGCCTTTATGCCTCTAGGCTGGAACGCTAGTTGTCTGGTGTTGGGAAATTGGGATCTGTGAGTGAGGGGCAGGTTGGGGGTGACTTGGAGGGGCACTTTGGCAGGCTGGGCAAAGCTGACGCTTCGGGAAGATAGAGCTTCCGCGAATAAGAACCCCCACGCAGGTACGGATGGAGGGCTCGGTGCTGGGGACAAGCCTCGGTTGAGGTTTGAGATGGACCCTGGAGCGCAACAAAACATCCCACAACAAAGAGAGAGCCCCTGCCCTTGTCTAGTTGTGTTCGCTGTGATCACAAAACACTACCTGGAATTTGGCCTGCGCGGCGAGCATGGCCTTTCCGAGGTTCCGCTTCTGTTGGTGGCGGGTGACATGCCGGCTCTGAGTCATGTGAGTGGCAGGTGACCAGTGCAAAGCGCCACAAGTGAGTCAGCTTTTCCGATTTCTCCAGCAGCGAAACTAGGCGAAACGGGTCTTTTGGATTTAGGAAACGTACGCTTCCGGAAACCTCGTATGCGTGGAAATATAAATAAATAAATAAAACCAGCAACAACAACAAGCAAACAAAAACATTTTGTGGCTGTTGAAAAAGGGCGACCATACGAAATCCACCATACCGCACGTTGCGGCCAGGAAAAAGAAGAGCACCAAGAAGGCATGGGGACCGGGCCGGGCCCCGTCAAATGCGACACCTGCCAAGAAACCAGCTGGATCGGCTCTGCGCAGCTTGCGGCAGGGGTTCGCATGCCAGAGTCGATGATGTGTTGGTGGTTCGGTGATAGGCTCGACAAAGATCAAGAACCTCGAGTCAGGTACGGATGGCTAAGGTGTGGTCTGATGTCCACATAGCATCACATCTCTGACATTGTGCACAAACCATTCCCCATTGGTCCGCCAAACTGACAATCTGGAACCCGCGCTTCCACGACAATCTGCTCTGCACGATTCACGGAGGAGAGAAAAGGTGAGTTCACTTCTTGAAGATATTGTCTAGAACTCGAATCACAACTCGCCATCTAGGTAAGACTATATGGAGTATATTCGCACTCGTGCCTCATCATATGGCTACACTCCTAACCTTCTTCTGATCATAACTTGCTGGTCGATCCCCCCCCATATAATGTGACGTGGAAAGGTTATTCATCCACGTGGATGTTGGCCAGGAAAACGCTCCACATCAGACATATCCAGGTCACAACACTCGTGAAACATCACTAGTGTTCAGTTTGGAAATACACTGAGAATATGACTGGTGGATAGACGACGGAAGCAGGCGATGAAACTGTTGTTCGTAGCGGTTTTATGAACGGTTTGATTACATTCTTGGGCGGTTGAACGAGGTTCCTAGCGATTGTGCTCTTGGCTGCACCATTCTTATTCGGCAGCACCTCAGTGGTTTTAGCTCGCAAAACCCTAGGTTGGCCATTCGCACTCTCCTGGTCAACTAACGGTCCCGTCCTCTTTATAATTATATTCCTGGTCGTCCTTCCCTTTCCCCACCCTCTGTTGGCCATTGACGGCTTGGTCTTTTCTTCTGTTCTTACGTTCTGACATTAGGTCGCTTCCTCGCCCTTGATCCCGTCGGGTTCGCCACACTAACGTTCGAGCCTAAAATACGTTCAAGGCGCGAGCGAAGATGGTCAGGCGTATCACCGCATCCCACGTGTCAATTTTTTCCAATTTAGACGGGAAAGATGGCCCAGGATTCGATCCCGCGTCGTTCGCCTCCTCCCTCCACAATGCCGTCGATCATCAGAAGCAGCGCTTCGACCGGTTCGTCAAGGTACAATTGGGGAAGGTTCAACTGCGCCAGAAAACGACAAATGCAGCGCAACTAGAAAGCTCTCAGCCTGCTGTGCATTGGCCAGTCAGAAGGCGACGATCGACCCGCAGTGCAGTCGGTACCGTCCAATTCGTTTCCAGCCCCCCTCTCGCCGCTGTCGCTGCCGACTCGCTAAAAGCACCCGCGTCAGCAGCCCCGGAGAAAAAAGACGACGGCGCTTCGTCAGCGGAATCAGCGACAGCGGATGCGGCGGGAAATGCGGTGAAACCGACGCTCGCGCAGTACCTGCGTAAGCCCATCGCGCTGTTCAGCTTTATCCCGAAAGACGCGGCGCTGTTTTTCGCCGGCGCCGTCGCTGGCGGCACGGCTAAGACGGTGACGGCACCACTGGATCGCTGGAAGCTCATGCTGCAGGTATGGGAAGGGGAGAGGAGAAAAGGGGAAGGGGGGGAGGGGGGGGGGGAGGAGGGGGAGGAAGAGGAGGGGAGAGGAGGGGAGAGGAGGGTGGTGGGGTGTGGGGTGGGGGGGGAATGGGGGTGGGGAGGGGGGAAGATTATGAAGCTCAAGGTACATACATTTGAAGAACATTAAAGCGGGTGGGTAGGCTCCACAAGTAATAAAGATCTAAGGGTCGTATCTCTGCACAAACCGCCGCAGGTGTGTGCTTCGCTGGAAGCTCGTGCAGGCGGAGCAAGGAGAGGAGGCTCTTTCCCAAAGCCGTGCGGGAATTAAAAGGCTTAAATGGACTAAGCGCTTAAAGATCTATCTGTCCGTTGGTGCTTCAAGTCGCCCTGGCCCCTCTCCCTACCCTTCACCATTGACCTTCAGATGAACCCCGTTATAAACATACCCCACTACCCCGCCATGTGCCTCCCCTCGTCCTTCTCCTATACTCCCCACCCCCCTCCCCTCCCCTTCTCACCCGCCCCCACCCTTCTCCATCTTCCTCTCCCGTTCCCCTTTTCTAAACCGCAATGTTGGCTTTCTCCACGCGTGTGTGTATATCAGGTGCGCAGCGTGCAGATGCCTCAAGACGTCTCGCATCTTCCAGCATTTCCCGTGTGCTTCCCCCCTTCCTTCCCCCACCCCACACACTACTTCCCCCCCCCCACCCCACTCCCCCCCTCCGCGTGCTCGCAGGTGCGCAGCGTGCAGATGCCTCAAGGCGTCGCCGCCAAGCCCGTTGGGCTCCTGGACGTGAGTATGGCTGCGCCTCCTCGAAACGATTCGCCTATATTTCGCCAATGCTTCGTCCCCTTTCGCCAATATTCGCACGCAATTTTTCGTCAATGCGGCGTAGTGTTCACTAAAGTCCCTAGCAATGGTCTCGCTGACGCGATACTTCCGCGCCGCGTTCCTGACCCTGTCGCTTCTGTCTCCGTGTTCTTTCTCCAAAAATCGTCCGAGCAGTAGGAAAGTTATCATCATGTTTATTATTGTTTGTTTGTTTTACTGTTTTTTTCTTCGCGCGACCAGTCGTTCCTGGCAATCGGACAGAAGGAGGGCGTGCTGGGCTACTGGAAGGGCAACTTGCCACAGGTGCGTCGTTTGGGTGGTAACTGGGGTAGGTAGTGACTATTCTGTTTTTTGCCCAGAAACGATATGATAATTGGTGTGAGCTCATAGTTGCAATACAACGTTGATCCTCGTCATTTCTCCGTGCATATGTAGTTGTAACCTGCAGTATCGTTGCAATATTGATATATGTATATATGTATTCTCAATTCGTATATGTTATTTTCAGGTCATCCGCATCATTCCCTACAGTGCAGTTCAGCTCTTCGCGTACGAAATGTACAAGGTACGTTTCGCCTCCGTATCATTTTTCTGTACGCAATTGAGCTTTGCAAGGTAGGCCTTCACCTCGTGAGTGATTTTAGAGAATTTTCAGAAATACCTTTTACCTCTAAGAAGGATAGCTGATCCATTCAAGCCTCTCCTGCCAGCTGAGAATCCTTCATCTGTAATTTTTTTTTTTCTGTTCCTCCCCCGTGCGTTCATCTGCATGTTCTTATAACGGGTACGGGGTGGAGCAGAAGGCATTCCTGGGCAAGGACGGGGAGCTCTCTGTGCCTGCCAGGCTGGCAGCTGGCGCATGTGCTGGCATGACGTCAACACTGGTACGTGTGTGCTGGCATGCCGCCAAAGATTGGTATGAACCGTATGTGCATGCAATGACATCCCCACATACAATGTCCCTAACCCATTCCCTCCCTTCCCCTCTCCCCCTTCCATCCCCCATTTCCCCCCCTCCCTCCCACCCCACAGATCACCTATCCCTTGGACGTGCTGCGCCTGCGTCTGGCAGTGGATCCGGCGTCAAGGGGCATGCGGTCAGTGGCGATGGGGATGATCCGAGAGGAGGGCATGCTGTGCTGTCCTCCTTACCCTCTCTCTCCTCTCTCCCACCCCCTATCCCACAGATCACGTACCCTCTGGATGTGCTGCGCCTGCGTCTGGCAGTGGATCCGGCATCAAGGGGCATGCGCTCGGTGGCAATGAACATGATCCGCGAGGAGGGAATGCTGTCGCCCTCACCCTCTCTCTCGTCTCCCCCCTCCCTCCCACCCCCAGATCACCTACCCCCTGGACGTGTTGCGCCTGCGTCTGGCAATGGATCCGGCATTAAAGGGAATGCGCTCCGTGGCGATGAACATGATCCGTGAGGAGGGAATGCTGTCGCCCTCACCCTCTCTCTCGTCTCCCCCCTCCCTCCCACCCCCAGATCACCTACCCCCTGGATGTGCTTCGTTTGCGTCTGGCAGTGGATCCGGCGTCAAGGGGAATGCGCTCGGTGGCCATGAACATGATCCGCGAGGAGGGCGCGCTGTCGTTCTACAAGGGCCTCGCGCCCTCCCTCATCTCCATCGCGCCCTACATTGCCCTCAACTTCTGCGCATTTGATCTGTGAGTCAACTGCTATGTATGTGCTTTGGTTTGTGATCCCCACAACACCCAGCGCCTTTTACACGCCTTTACCCTCGTATATCAAACGAACCTCCGTTCCACTACCATGTGCAGTCAACTTCCCCCGACACCCCCCCTCCCCCCTCCGTCTCTGCGCCACCACGTTCTCAACGGTGATGTGCTACCCGCTCGACACGGTGCGACTCAATTGGGCTCGTCTTTCCTATCCCAACCAACCCCTCTCCTTCCCCGGCCTCCCCTCCCACCATCCCAGCATCAAGCGCTCGATCCCCGAGAAATACCGCAAGACCCCGCAGGCCTCGTTCGTCACGGCCCTCTGCGCCACCACCTTTGCTACGGTGATGTGCTACCCGCTGGACACGGTGCGGCTTACCCTGGCTCATCTATGCCCCCAACCCCCCCCTCCTCCCCCTCCCACCCCCTCCCTCCCCCTCGTTCCCCCCCCCTCCTCCCCTCCTCCCCTCCTCTCCCCTCCTCCCCTCCTCTCCCCTCCTCCCCCCACCAACCCAGGATCAAGCGCTCGATCCCCGAGAAGTACCGCAAGACACCCCAGGCCTCTTTCGTCACGGCTCTCTGCGCCACCACGTTCGCAACGGTGATGTGCTACCCGCTGGACACGGTGCGGCTCGATTCACCCTCCTGTCCCCCCCCTTCCCCAACCCAGGATCAAGAGGTCAATCCCCGAGAAATACCGCAAGACCCCGCAGGCGTCGTTTGTGACTGCTCTCTGTGCCACCACCTTTGCAACGGTGATGTGCTACCCGCTGGACACGGTGCGGCGGCAGATGCAGATGAAGGGGTCGCCCTTCTCATCCGTGTTTGACGCCATTCCCGGCATCATTGCACGGGATGGCGTGGCCGGGCTGTACCGGGGCTTCATTGCCAATGCCCTCAAGAACCTTCCTAACAGCAGGTGAGAACCTCCCTAGGCACAGGTGGGTGGCTGATTGCTTTCTTGTGCTGCTGCTGAGAGGGTGCCATACCACCCCCTCTCCAAATGAAGGGGTCGCCTTCTCCTCCGTGTTTGACGCCATTCCCGGCATCATTGCAAGGGATGGAGTGGTCGGGCTGTAACGGGGGTTTATCGCCAATGCCCTCAAGAACCTTCCTAACAGCAGGTGGGAGGCTGCTTGCTTTTGTTGCTGTTGTTGAGTTTAATAAAACTTCTGAGCTTTTGGCACAGACCACATCCCCCAACCCCCTTTCTCCCCCCCCCCCCCCCCCCCCCCCCCCCCCCCCCGTGTTTCTTCTTACGGCTGGCAGCATTCGCTTGACAACGTATGACACCGTGAAGCAACTGATTGCATCAAGCCGTGACGAATACACTAAGCTTGTGAAGGAAAGGGAGGCCCAGATCGGTGCGCACTGATGATTTTCCCTACTGTTACAAAAATATTATTAACCCCTCGTTGGCAGTTGCCTTAGAGAACGTCTTTAGATGTAGCATTTGAAATTCCTTTCTGTTGTGCTAGTGTAGATGTATTCATAACACGTAAGTACAGTAATTTTATGACAGCATTCCTGGAATGGGCACAAGCCGTGACAACCGCAACTGATTCGTCAAAAGGTCTTCAACCGCTCTCGGCCGCACACTGTGCAACAATAGTCAACCAATCAGATCTTGTACACCCTGTTTCGCGCCACACTGACATTCGCTGTATTGACATGCCGCTTATTCTGACATCAACGCGTCCAAAACGGTCGCAGAACATGGCATATAAGCACAATTCGCCGCAATCAACCGTACGCGATAGCATTGTTTCTTTCATAAACCGTTGTGTATCGTTCTCCTGGACTGCATTTGCCCGCCACCTACCTGGGGATCGGTTGCAAGCACCAGCCCGCAAAATCCAAGCACACGTTCGCACTGTAGCCGGGGCTCCCGATTGTCCGAACGTTGAGAAACAGGGTGTATTCCCAATGCCCGAATCGCTGATTGGGAAGCCTCAGTGACGCCACTGTTGATACCGTACAGAGCTAGAAATGAAACGTGACTGTGCAGAGCTTCCACTGCTCGAGCTTCGGAAAGTTCCGTGGCTGCAAAAAGGCAAGGATGACGAAAGCGAGGTGATGACGTGGCATCTTCGCAGCCTCGATGCTCTCTGCCTTTCTCGAGGTGGACAGGTACACTATGGCAAGGGTCTCCCTTTTCAGGAAACACAGATACGCTAGCGAATGGTATGATAACGGGCGGTATTGACCAGCCTCAGACACTTCAACGGTTGGAAAGGGGATTTTTTTAGAATTCCAATCACATTTCCCAAAGCCAGTGGGGCCTTTTTGTTCTGCAAACGAAGGGCTCATGACAAAATCGAGGTCGTTGCGGAAGAGTAACCATTTCATTCATGAGGAAACCCCAGGCGAAGTCTGTTACCTCGAGCTTGTCGAAAGCCTTTCTGCTGCACTGAATAAAGCTGCTACTTCACAAGAAGGGCTCTTCTCATTGGGTTACGTCTGCTACACCGATTACTGGTTAACCTCTTTCTACAAAACAGCGTTGGCTCCCTAGCTTGCTCCAATTGCAATTCGGGTTGGGTTATCTCCATCGTGGTCTAAGAATCCTAAAGCTCAACCTTCCGATATTACGCACTCATAATTCTAAAGCGCAACCGTACAATCCGATAGCGTCACGCTCCTCTTCCAGTGTCAGTAGCTTGCAAATCTCGGTCACGAGCAGCCTAATGTGTGTGCGACGACACCTGTCCTGACACGCGTTGTTATTTTTCAAGAACCGTTTTCCGGTCGGTTTTTCATAAGCATCATTAAGGCGAACCTCCGCCTTGCACTCAGCCTTGCGAAGACGAGGATGCTAGAGCTTTAAAACCCGGCGTGGGCCTTTGTGCTTTTGAACTCCTTTCGTCACGAGCTCGTCATTCAGAGCTCCTTATCAGCCAGAGCTCCTATTCAGTCAGAGCTCTTATCAGTCACAGCTCCTATTAGTCAGAGCACGTTATCAGCCAAATATACTCATCAGTCAGAGCATCTTTTCAGCCAAAGCTGCTTATCATTCACAAGTCATCATTCACAGTTACCTGTCAGCCAAAGCCCCTTATCGGCCAACGTTTTGATAACAACTCCTTATCGTTCGGAGCTCGTTGTCACACAGGGCTCCTCATTGTTCAGCGCGTGAGCTCTGTATCTCTTAGAACACATTCTTGAAGTTTCGTCCTAGCCATGGCTGACTCGGCGAAAGCGGATTTCCTCCAAGGGGAATTTGACGACGCCATATTCTCCATGACAGACTTTGAGGTGCGCCCGTTATAATCACAAATTGCTGCGGCCGTTATAATCACAAATTGCTGCCATGTTTAGTATGTGGAGAGTAAAATTAGCGGTATCCGCTGTCTCGTTCCTCCCGCCTCACTTTCGCCATCTCGCCTTATCCACGTCGTTACCCCCATCTCGTTCTTCCGTCTCCCTCGTTCGTCCTGGTATGGGAGGTACGCGTTGTCCTACCTGGTCGCGTGTCTTTCCTTTTTCCCTGGCTACTGTATCGTCGCCTTCATCACACACACTCCGTGACGTGCCTTCAAGTATTGCCGTTTTTCTTGGCTCTTATACGCTTTTTCCATGTTTCCTTCCCATCCACCTCCCCATCCAACCCGCCATGCACGGCAGAGCATCACGTTCGACGCCATGGGCGACATGGGCTTAGCAGACGATGGTCTCGCCGCCATGAGCGCCGCATTGAACGGGCTGTCCGCCACCAGCGCCGGTGCTACAAACGCGGCTGCGTCCGGTGGAGCGGGTGTGCCTGTGCTGTCAGACGTCGTCCACGCGCCCAGCCATCAGGAGCCGTGCAATGATGACATGGTCTTCAAGTCCTATGGCCATGGCAGCGAAGCTCGCGTTGGCCTTCAGCCCATGTCTGCTGCTGCTGGTACTGCTGGTGCTGCTGGTGCTGTTGGTGCTGGTGCTGCTTCTGGTCCTGCTGTGGCTGGTGGTTCTGCTGCTGGTTCGTCTGAAGCTGCTGCTGCTGCTCCAGGTGGTGACGTTTCCAGAGGTTGTGGAGCTGGTTCGGTGGATTTGGCATCAGGTTCGGCTCCAGGTTCGGTGCCAGGTTCGGTGGCAGGTGCAGGAGCCTGTAACGCAGGTGGTGGTAGTATCACATGCTCTGGTATGTGTGTACCCGGTAGGGAGAACAAGGGGGAGGCGCTTGGGGGGAGGACAACAGGGGAGGTGAAACTGCGAACTCCAACCGCTAAGTCAAATTTAAAACGGGTCTTTGAGCCTGCCTATATGGAGGACAGTGACGGGGCGGGGTTTGAAGGTGGCAATTCCATGAGCGCTGGTAACCACATGAATGTTACAGAATCAGGGGAGCAGCAAGGGGGGAGGGTGGAAGGAGTGCGCGTGGCAGGCGCTGCTGCTGCCACGTCATCACCTCAAGGTTCCAACGACAGCCACACGATGAGCTCATCCCCTCCTTCGTCCTGCAAGCCGCTGCCCTCTCATCCCCACGGCCTGCCACAGCCTCACAACCACCACCAACAACAGCATCACCACCAGCAACAGCACCAACAGCACCAGCAGCAGCAGCAGCAGCAGCTGCAGCAGCAACAGCAGCAACAACAGCTGCAGCAGCAACAGCAGCAGCTGCAGCTGCAGCAATACCACCATCGCCAGCAGCAACTCCAGGCGCAGCAGCAGCAACAACAGCAGCATGTTTCGTCCTCTGGTCTGTCTGTCCCTGCGTCTGCATCTGCTGGTCAAGTTCAGGGGGGAGGGAGGGTGGTGAGCCCGTCAGTCTCCCACAGCAGCAGGCACGGCAGGCAAGCGACAGCAACAGCAGTAACGCAGCAACAGCAGCAGCAGCAGCAGCAGCAGCAGCAGCAGGCGATGTTGCATCAGCAATCTGTGGCACAACAGCAATCGATGTCCCAGCAGCAGGCAGCGGCACAGCAGCAAGCTATAGCCAGACATGCGTTTCAGATGGCATCTTGGCAGGGGCACATGGCAGGAGGACAACAAGGGCACATGCAAGGTGCCACCAATCAGTCGATGAAACAAGAGCAGCTTGAGGGGCAGCAGATGCTGCAACCCGGGGGTGGAGGAGGGGGAGGAAGGATGGGAGACGGATCAGGAGCAGCAGGAACAGCAGCAGTAGCAGCTCACTTAGTGCCAACCGCAGCCACCACCACCAGCGCCGCCACTGGCACCACCCTCCCTGCTCTCCGCCCCATCATGCCCCCTTCCTTGCGGGGTCTTCCCAACCTCCCAGGCCTGCCACCCCCCTTTGTCTTTCCCCCCGGCATGCTCCCTGGAAGCGCCTCTGGCGCTGCCTTGCCACGCCCCTTCGCAGTGGGGAGCATGGGGAGCATGGGGGGAATGGGGAGCATGGGGAGCAATGGGGGGATGGGTGCCATGGGGGGCATGGGTAGCATGGGGGGGATGGGGGGCATGGGGGCGGGGAGTGTGGGCGCTGGTGTTTCGTCTCTCCCTGGTTTACCGGCGCTTCCAGTAGGCATTGCACGCCCTTCAAGAACAGCTGCACCTGGGGGGCGAACTGCTGCTGCTGCTGTTGCTGCTTCTGGTGCGGTTGCTGGTGCTGCTGATGGTGGTGGTGCTGGTGCTGTGGGCGCAGCAGGGAGAACCAGTCCCGTTGCTGCGACAGGTTCGGCAACAGCAATGGAAGCAACATCAGCGACAGCAGCCTCCTCTGCAGCAGCAGCAACAGCAGGAGCAGGAGCAGGGGCAGCAGGAGTAGGGGCTATCAGCAGCAGGGCTGGAAGCTTTGTTAAGACCGAAGGGTTCGAAGGGGACGCAGATTTATGCAGCCACAAAATGGTTAGATCAGGATCCATAGGAGGGGGGACAAGAGCAGGAGCAGCTGGAGGAGCAGGCAGAGCAGTGGGCCATCACAAACCATCCGTGGGAATCAGGCGAGGGGTGAGCCTGCACGAGGGGCTATCAAACATGCGCTCCTTCCCCCCTGGTTCGCCAGCAGTGGTTCTTTCTCCCGGCGGAATCATGCTGCAATCTCTGGCGTCACCGGCACCGAACGCACCCTCGCAGTCCCCAGGAGCCCCCTCTCCTCGCTCCGCCCTGCCCCCCTCACCTCGTTCCCCCTTCCCCCCTTCACCTCGATCAGCTTTGCCCGGCCCATTGTCCAGAGCTGTAGGTTCGGTGTCGGGGGGAGTGGGAGGACTGGGTAGGGCCGTGCCTGCCTCCCCTTCTGCTGCTTCTGTGCCTGCTGCTACCGGCACTTCTGCTGCCAGTGCTGCTGCCGCTGCTGCTATGGCTGCTTCTGCTGCCGCTGCTGCTGCTGCTGCTTCTGCCGGCCCGTATGCTAAAATGCGCCGAGTTGCCTCTGCTGGACAGCTGTCGCATTCCCATTGGCCGGCTCCAGCAGCAGCAGCAGCGGGCGGGCACATGGATGCGCATGCGCACATGTGGCAGAGGCTTGGGGCGGAGATGGGGGGATGGGGGGCGGGAGCGGGAGGAGGAGGGGGGGCAGTGGGGGTTGCTACTCATACTGCCGGTTTTGCCACTCCTGGTGCTGCTGCCCGTATTGTTATTCCTGCACCTGGAGTTGCTGCACCAGGTGATTCTAGCACCTCTGCTGCTGCGGCTGCTGCTGCTGCCGCCACTGCTGCTGCCAATGCCAGTGGTACTGCGTCTGCCATGGCTCCTCTATCTGCCGCTGCTCCGGCAGCGGCAAGGCAGGGTACAGCAGCAGCAGGGACAGGGCGGGTAGCAGGGGCTGTGGCAGGAATGGCTAATGGGTGTGTGTGGGGGACTCATAGTGGTGAGGGCAGCACAGGGGAGCAAGGGGAGGAGGCACAGGGCCGAGGGGCAGAGAGATTGGGGGGGGCAGGCGATATAAGAAGTACAGGCAAGGCAGGAGCAGGGGCAGGAGGAGGGGCAGGAGCCGGGAAGGACGGAGGAGCAGGAGGTGCACCCGGTGCTGGGTTCTCTGGTATAGGGGCCGATGGGGCAGAGAGCATGCGTCGTGTTGCAGGGAACCCAATCATGCATGTGGGCAGCCATGGCGATGGGGATGGGGATGGTAACCACAGCAATGGCGAAAGTGGCGAAGGGGAGACTGGTGATGGCGAGGATGGGGAAGAAGATGAGCTGAAGCCCCTCCCATCCCCCATCCTGCGTGCCCGCAGGGCCATGGCCATGGGCGCAGGCATGGGCATGGGGGCAGGCATGGGCATGGGAATGCACATGGGTATGGGTATGGGGATGAGCATGCAGCGTAGCTTCAGCAGCCATGCGTTGGGTCAGCTGCACATGCAGCACATGCCAGGCCTCCCACCACTCCCCCCCCCTGCAGCAGCAGCGCCGCATCTGGCAGGACAGCACATGCCTGTGGGCATGGAGGGGGGGGTTATGGGCATGGGCGAGGGGTTAGCTGGAGGGGGCGGGGGAGGTGGGATGATGGGGTCTCGAAGTATTTCAATGGGTGGTGGTGCTGCTGCTGGTGCGACTGCTGCATCAGCAGGCTCGTATGGCACTGGCGCTGTCAGTGCCAGTGCTGCTGCCGCTGGCACTGCTGGTGGTGCTGCTGGTATGAGTGTGGTAGGGGAGGGTATGATGGCAGAGGCCGCAGGAGCAGGAACATCAGCATCAGCAGCAGCAGCAACGGCAGCAGCAACCACCGCAGCAGCAGCAGCAGCAGCAGCAACGGCAGCAGCAACCACCGCAGCAGCAGCAGCAGCAGCAGCAGGCCTGGCAGGAGGCGGAGGGTTTGGAGGGGCGCATTTTGCAGGCATGGGGGGGGGAGGCATGAGCGGCGTTGCAGGGATGGGAGGCAGCATGGGGGCTCCAATGCTGCCGTCCTTCAGCAACATGAGACGAGCTCACAGCACAGGCGACATCCAGGTCCGTACTAATGAAACATTTCATTCATTCTTTCCTGCATCTTTTCTTACCGCCACCCCCCTCCCCACATTCACACCAGTCCCTGGCTGCAATGTGTTCTCTAGCCATGGGTTTCGGCCTCTTCTCAGCTCCCTCTGACACCCTTCCATCTCAACTACTCGCCTTTGTTATCCCTTAATCCCTCTTTCCTCCCTTCCTCCAAACGCACCAGTCCCTGGCAGCAATGCGCTCTCTAGCCATGGGCTTTGGTCACCTCCCAGCACCACCTGGAGCAGCAGGGATGAGTCCCTTTGATGACCGTACCGGCATGGGACTGGGCATGGGCATGGGCATGGGTATGGGGGGTATGGGCATGGGCATGGGGGGCATGGGAGCAGGCATGGGCATGGGCATGGGAATGGGCATGGGGGTGTTTCGGATCGGGCGGTATACATTGGAGGAGCGGCGGCAGCGGATCATGAAGTACCGGCAGAAGAGACATGAGAGGAACTTCACCAAGAAGATCAAGGTGGGTTGCAGTGCAGGCACACTAGAACGCTTTTTGGAGTTTGCTGGCGCTTATCCTGCTATATTAATCCCTCCTGTTTTACTCCCTTCAACTCTAGCCCACCTGCTCTTTTCCCCAATCATTCTCCTCTCCAACAGAACCCTTTTGCTGCCACTCCTCCTGCCTGCCCTTGCCTGCCCTTCCCCACCCTTCCTGCCGCCTGCCTTTCCCCCTGCTTTCATGCGCGAATGGGCACTACCATGTGTACATGCATTCATCACATCACAACCCGGCGTGCGCATGAGCAGTACGCGTGTCGTAAGAATCTGGCGGACAGTCGGCCGCGCGTGAGAGGCAGATTCGCACGCAACGATGAGATTGAGGAGGTGAGAGGCTGTGTGTGTTCTTTTCAGGTCTCAGGTGGCTCTTGAGTCGCCCCAAAAGGCAGCTGGCCGGGTGTGAAAGGGTGAGGCATTTGGTCAAATAAGTGTTTATTTTTTTTACACCTCCGGTAGTCAAGGAAACCATACTAAGAATTACTATCTCATTTTAGGGTACATTCTCATCTTGACGCGTCGCGTCAAGATGAGAATGTTACATACATGCTCCTCCCATCTCCATTCGTCCCCTCTCCCCCCTTTTCCCCTCCCTCCCCTTCAACCCTCCCCCTCTTGTCCCTCACCCTCACTCTGAGCAGCATGAGCAACAGGACAAGGATAGTCACAGTGGGGATGGTGCTGATGCTGACAATGCATGCACTGACGCTGACGTGGACATCTCAGGTCCGCATGGCACGTCATCGCATGACATGTTGTCCACGTCACATGCTGATATGTTTTCAGCAGAGGACTTTTCTGACATGCTTTTGGACGGCCCCTTCGGGTCCGATGTTTTCTTTGACATTGACCCCCCAGCTGGTCGTAGCAGCACCTGAGTAGTCTCTCTATGAGCAGGGGTGCTGCTTCTAGTAAGTAAATTTGTTGTGGCAACTTCGTCGCAAATGAGGAGCCGCTTTGTACAGTTTGAACAAATGTGCAACTATTATTGCACTGGCCCTGTCATTTGATTTTCATGGCCTAAACAAATCGTTTGTACTGTCAGGTTTATGACCTTGTATTTCTGACCTTCCATTCACTTGGCAAGCTGCAAAACCTCTGGCGGTCAGGTACTATGTGGTGCTTTGCTTCCAATGAACCTTGTATCGCGTACACTGCAGGTCATGAGCATCGCGATCATTCTAGAGCGCACCACACTCATGAACCCCGTCACTCCACCCCGTCGCCATGGATGGATGATTCTGCAAGGATCGTCGCTGAAATCTAGAAATTCCTCGAGTGCCAATCCACAACGACAACGCCATTTTGAGCTCCGCTGGTGTCAGTTTTCAGCTTCGCCTAGAATCTTCCTCGTGAATACTTTATAAACAATTGGACGTATCGCCCTTCCATTGCCAGCACTGCTGTTCCAGACACATCGTGTGCATTCTAGAGCCATGGCGGCCGTGCTGGTTTCGGAACTGTCGTACATTGGTAACGAGCCGCGTTTGGCCGTAGACCTAGTATCTGTTGGTATAAAGCATGCGAAGTTTTACCCGAGTGTCATCAAGAAATGAACTAATACAGCGCTCTTATTATCAAAGCTGTCGCAAGTTATCTTCTCGCCCGCTCTCAGCCTTTTCATAGCCTCACAGTTGACTGCGCGAGTAGACCATGGCGCTCACACCGTTCGGCAACGATCCGCTGTTCAACTCGCTTCTCCGGCTGTCCCACATCCCAGACGAGTTTAGCACTCTTTTCGACGCTCCGACATCCAAGTTCGTGAGAGACAGCAACGCGATGGCGTCAACTGCCGTTGACGTGAAAGAGACTCCCGAGGCCTTCAAGTTCATCGCGGATCTCCCGGGCCTGAAGAAAGACGAGGTGAAGGTTCAAATCGAAGATAAGAATCTGCTGACTATCAGCGGCGAGCGGACCAGGGAAGTTAAGGAAGAGACGGAGAAGTATCACCGCGTGGAGCGGAGCACTGGCAAGTTTCTGAGGCGATTCCGTCTTCCTGATAACGTGGAAGTGGATAAGATCGCGGCGACCTCGGAGAATGGTGTTCTTACCGTGACTGTGCCTAAGTTCAAGCCACCAGAGCCGAAGAAGCCGGCTATTGTAGCTATTCCCATCAACTAGAGAAACATAGGTGGTTGTTATTGTAGTGGTGGTGGTGAGGTGATGCGCTTGTTTGATGAGCACGACGAAGTTTTGCTGTGTGGAACCTTGTTATGCCTTATAACTTGCATGATCGAATGTGGTTGTGACTTGAAGACTGATTAGTGTCCAGTTTGAGCGATCTCTGGAAAGCCATGGCTTTCAGGGGTGTGCATCTGCTCCCTGCTTGCACATGACGGCTCAAGGAAAGCATGGGAGTCAGGACGGAGGCTTGCAGCGTGGAAAGTATTGATGGGAACGAATAGCACAGCAATATGGGTGGACGGACAGCAAAGCAATATGGGTTCTGTCTTTTATGGGTCTAAAGTGTACATACATACATGATTGACAGACCTCAGCCCAGAGAACGGACACGTTCGGAAACGAGGTCCTCGACAATGAAGTGCTCGTCGTTACTGGTTTCGTCACGGTCGCCCATCCAACGACAAGGGTTTCCGCAAACCGAGTGTCCCCTCCCCTGCCTTCCAGTATGGTTCGGTAGGTTTCTACTCGATTAATCGGAAGTTACCGCACTGGAACGCAATGCACCGATAATGTGGTACTGAATTTCACCGACCGTTGGTGCCACTATCCCAGGTTTATCCAGAGCAGAGCAACGCCCGTTCAGGCAATCACAACCACATAAAAGATGGATCTGTTGAAGGCTAGCCATGGTTGATGTGTAGCACCAGCTTTGCTCCTAAAAACTGTGTAGTGCCAGATAGAGCTGCTTTGTTGCTAGACGTGCTTTCGTACGGCCTTTTTTCTGGGTTGGCCGTATGATGGACGATAGGTATGGCCGGCCAGGTATGGCTGACCGGAGACACGAGTTTGTGGATCTGGGAAAAGAGGAACGGAGAATATGGCCGACGAGGAAGGGCGAGGAAGAATCGCTAAGGATTGAGGCGAGGACGTCGGCATATATTACGGATCCTTTCGGCCGTCCGACGATTGATTTCGATCACGGTAGGTGATTCTTCCGCAGTACCTCTTACATTTTTCTCTCTCATTTCCTGATCATTTTATGCTTCTGGAATATTTTGGTTTTGTAATGATAACAGGTAAGGAGCCGCAAGGATCTATTGATTCCATGGTGTGGATATCGAACCTTCCAAACGACGTCAGGGAACGAGACATTGCCTCTCTCATCGGAGAAGTTGCTGAAATCCAGGTGCATTTGCAGCTGAAACATTCTCCACGAGTGTTTCCTCCAGCTGAATCATTGTCTTTTCTTTTTATACTTTAGTTTGACAGTTTGTAGTCTGTATTATTTGTTTCTGGTCTGTCTCATGCGACGTCTGTCATTGCGTGCAGATGGATTCTGAGACTCGAGGACTCAAGACGAAGCTCCATTTCAACGGAAGGAACGGTGTGGTGGCGGAAGTGTGGCTTCAGAAGCCAGGATCGGACCAGCATGTCGTCAAGTGGTTCGACGGTGCGTCACGTATATTATTGTACATTCCTTTTCTTTGTCTGATATTCTCCAGCTGAAAGATTGTCATTCTTTTTGTACCTTTTTTAGCTGCTAAAAAAGAAATGGAAGCCTAATCGGCTCGTACTGGTTGCTTTCTTTTTCCATAAAAGACATGGTCACCTGATATGTTTTTTTATATTTTTTATTTATTTATTTCATTTTTTTCTACCGTTGCGCGTTGCAGGCTATGTCTTCCAAGGCCTTCGCATGAAGGTTACCTTGGATCCTCCACCAAACTTCACCTCCGCGTTCAAGCCTGATATCCCGATAGTAGCTTCCTCCGCTCCTGAACGACTCAGCGGGTTCTCGGAGCGTCCTGGTATGCCGCTTTCAGATCGACTCGGGTTACCAGTCGCGGATCGTCTAGGGTTACCCGTTACAGAACGGCTTGGTGGTCCTATTACCGATCGTCCAGCTGGTTCCGTTTTGGACCGGCTTGGGAGGCCGGCAGGTTTGGTTTCAGGGTCCCCCATTGGAGGCCCGGTACCGGACCGCGTGAGAGGTCCGGTTACAGATCGCCTAGGAGGTTCGGTACCAGACCGCCTTGGAGGCTCGGTACCAGATCGCCTCGGAGGTTCGGCAGCGGATCGCCTAGGCTCGTCGGGCTCGGATCGCCTCGGAGGACCTCTTCCAAACAGGCTGGGTTATGGCTCTTCTCGGGGGGATGACGTGGCAGATGGGTACGGGAACAGCCGCAGGAACGCAGGGAGCGCGATGGACGCGGGTCGCAGGAGCAGCTTCGGGGAAGATTCTGATTTGGGGGGGCTGCAGCAGTTGCGGCACGACATGGGGCTGCAGCGGCGGGAGCTGTCGACTGGCGGAACGCTGCTTGCCGTCCGCGGAGCGGTGGACGATGAGGCGGGCGGAGGTGGCGGAACGGGGGGAAGTGGCGGAATTGGTGGGAGCGGCGGAATGGGGGGGAGCGGCGGAATGATTGGCGTTGGCGGTGTGAGTGGTAGCGGAGGTGTGAGTGGTGCTGGGGGAATGAACAGAGGGGGGGTTGACGGCTACGGCGGACGGGGAAGCAGCGATCTCGATCGGATGGCATCTCCGCCGTTGAATGCCGTCGTGTCACCACCGGCGGGCGGAGGAAGCGGAGCAGGGGGGGCGCGCGGAAGCGGATCAGGAAGAGCTAGGCGATTGGGCTCTCCCGACCGTTACTCATCACGGGAAGATGCGCGGGATGGGGGGAGAGATCCGGGGAGAGACGGCGGAAGGGATGCGGGGAGAGATCCGGGGCGAGACGGCGGAAGGGATGCGGGGAGAGAAGCGGGGAGGGATGGGGGGAGAGATACGGGGAGGGATGGGGGAAGGGACTTGTATGGCAGAGGATCGCCGCGTGGAGGGCCGATTGGGGGAATGCGGGAGATGGAGCAGCGGCGGGGAGAGATGGAGCAGCGGCGGGGGGAAATGGAGGGATTCGCGGAGCAGCAGCGGATGGAGGAGCTGGTCGCCGCGGGCATGGGACTCGCGGGGCTTCCGCCAGGGGCGCACGTAGCGGCCGCGCATTTCGGCGCGCGCATGGCAATGGGCGGAGGGTTCATGGGTCCGCGCGGGAACCCGAACGTGCAGCCGCGCGAGGGAGATTGGATCTGCGTCGAACCCATGTAAGAGATCAGTCGGGGGATGGGGGATGGCAGAAAGGAACGTGCGTGTTGAGCCTTCCGACTCAGGTCGAATAATGTTACAGGTACATGAGGGTTACAGGTGAACGAGGGTCACGACACAAGTGGAAGAGGGTAGATTAGGATTACCTTCGGGGAGCCTTGGACTTGCTCGGCAGCTGCGTTAGCTGGTTTTTTGGCAGCTGATTTTTTTTCGCAGCTGATTCTTTTGCAGCTGTTTTTTTGCAGCTGGTAGTTCCCACAGCTGTTCCATTTGCAGCCGATTCTTCTTTAGCTGGTTTGTTCGCAGCGGATTTGAGTGGTTGGCGGCAGCGGAAGCAGGTGGGTTAGGAAAGCTGATCTGCTTGGTTGTCAGTGAAGCTGGTCTATTCGGTGGGTGCTTCGTGTGGTTCGCGACTTACTGTTTGAGGGGGCATGTTTTAACGGGGAAGCTGAGCAGCAGCAGGAGTGATTGACAGGTGGGTGGTGGATTGGAAAACAAAGGTCTGGGACCTTCATCGCGAAACCAAGGAGTCGAGTCGAGATCTGCTGTACAGGTTTCCGATCTGGTTTCCAGGGTTGATATACACTTTTGGGGGCACCTTGTACATAATGTGAATATCCAGCCAGCACCATTTGCCTGGAAAACTCCGACTGGCGAGGCTGCAACTCTTAGGTACTGAAGCCGTGTTGATGGTGCCACGTTGGTCGGGAGACATGACTCAGATCAATGCCCTTGTGCCGCCTCCTGGCTCCTCCTGCTCCTCCTGGCTCCTCTTCCTCCTCTTCCTCCTCTTCCTGCAGGTGCGGCAATCTCAACTTCGCCCGCCGAGTCCGCTGCCACCAGTGCGGCATGCCTCGCCGCGAGCAGCCGCCCATCGTCCCCATGCCCTTCGCGCCCGACCTCCCCATCCACCGCATTGGACCGCCCACAATCCCTCTCCACCCCTTGGGACCCATGAGAGGCGCTGGCGACGGGCCAGGGTTTGGCATTCTGGACGGGCATGGGTTCCCGGGGGGGCATTCGGGGAGAGGAGGCGGTAGGGATGGGGGTTTCCTGCCTGGCGGTGGTGGTGGTGGTGGCGGTGGTGGCGGTGGTGGCGGTAGGGAGTATGATAGGAGTGGCAGCGGCAGGGAGTATGGTGGGGAGAGCGGCAGGGGGAGTGGCCGTCGGGGGGAGTACGATGAACGGCCGAGATCTGGCGATGGTGGGATGTTGGAGGGGAGGGGCGGCGGAGGGGGGTACGATGGGGGCAGGAGAGGGGGGAATGCGCGGGAGGAGTATTTGGGACCTGAGGGGGGGTATGGGATGGAGATTCCTGGGAGGGGGAGGGAGTGGATGGGTGGAAGGGAGAGAATGATGGGACGAGGGGCAGCGTGGGATGCTATGGGTGGTGGTATGGGGCACGGGGGGCATGCGGGGCATGGGGGGCATGGAGGGCGTGGGGGGCATGGCATGATGCTGGGGCTGAGAGGGAGGGATGATGTGAGGGCGGGTGGCAGGGACTGGGACCTAGAGAAGGATCGTGCACTGGAGAGGGCGCGAGAGAGGGAGATCATGAAGGAGAGAGAGAGGCGGAAGGGGAGGGAGCGGGGGAGGGAGAAGCTGGGGGAGCGGGACAGGGGGCAGGAGGGGAGGGAGGGGAGGGAGCGGCGTGACAGAGGGTCTGAGGATGAGCGGGAGAGGGATCGGGAGCAGGATCGTGACAGGGACAGGGAGAGGGAGAGAGGGAAAGGTGGAGAGGCTATGGGAGGGGGTCGAGAGGGCAATGGTAGGGCGGATGGTGGTGGGGAGAGGAGGGAGGAAGGGGCAAGGCGGATGCAGTCTCCTGAGCGTCGTGCGGTGAAAGGGGATGGAGGGAAGGAGAGGGAGAGGAGCCGCTCCCCTCGTGCTCGGCGATAAGAGATCGATCTCTCTGTGTTCTCTGATGGAAGTGTGAGAAGTTTCTGGGTTTGCACTCATGGATCGGGTCTGCACTAATTTGCGCAGAAGAGGAACCATTCTGGTTTTTGGGCATGGGTTAGGGGCAGGGAGGGAGATGTTAGGCATCAAGGCAGGCATGGCCGGCAGCGGGAGTGGTGACTGGGATAAGCAGCAGCTGATATGACTAGGATAAGCAGCAGTTGTTGAGACTGGGTCACTGGGGTCATCAGGGGTAGAGTGCATTGGCATCATCAGCAGCAGTGCACTTGGGTGCTTATTGTTATTCTAGTCTCATTGCCCTTCTTTGGAAGGGCCCTTTTCTGGATAGTACAAGGAGACATCTTTTAGGGGGGGCATTCTAGTGGGATATAGATGCAGAAGTGTGAAAGGCTGTTCTTTTAGCCAGTTGAGTGTATTCATGGTCTGATGAGTGGGATGGACTGACAAGAGGAACAATCACGTGTCAGTGTGGGCTAGCAAGTTCAAGGTACTGTATATGCGTCAAGCAGTGCTGTCAGTCAGCAGCATGCATTGCTGACGTGAATTGATGTCTGACAAACACTACAACAATAAGCACGCATGCACAAAGGGTGTGCTGCGAGCAATGGCACGCTACAGCAGCACACGTGCTTGTTCCTCTTCCAGCAGTGCTAGCAGGAAACACAGATCGGGGGAAGGTGAAGGGGCAAGGGCTCACGCATGAAGTGAAGCCAATTGCCCAGTGGCCATGTCAGGAACCCACTTGGATGCACAGCCAATCCACATGTTAATCAAGGAGCACTCAAAAGGACGGCAGGTGGGTGCAGGTGGAGGGTGGCGTGAAGGGCCCACACAGGAAGCAGTCCACATTGCCCAGCGGCTGTACTGGAGGGAACCCCCTTGGATGCAATATGCTACAGCATGTGTGGCTAGTTCTAATCAACCAAGCAGGGCTATGAGGATGCACAGCAAGCGGGTGCATGTGGAGGGGGGCGTGAAGGGCCCACACATGAAATACACCACGTTCCCCAGCGGCTGTACTGGAGGGCCCCCCTGGTTGCAATGCTACACCATGTCCCATGTGTGGTTCTAATCAAGCAGTGCTAGCAGGATGCGCAGTAAGCGAGAGCATGTGGAGGGGGGCGTGAAGGGCCCACACATGAAATACACCACGTTCCCCAGCGGCCGTGCGTATATGCCGTGCTGCCGCAGCCTTGTTAGGAGCCCCTTGGCGGCTGATGAGCCGTAGCTGTGGGGGGGAGCGAAGGGAGAACAGAGGGAACGAGTAAGTTGGAGAGCAGAGCGGGTACTTATGTGCCAAGCGGCCGTGCGTATATGCCATGCTGCCGCAGCCGTGACAGGAGACCCTTGGCTGCTGACGAGCCGTACCTGTGGTGGGTAGAGTGGAGGGAGAGCAGAGTGCTTGAGTGAGATAGGAATAACTAATAACTTCAGCTGAGTAGACCACGTTGCCCAGCGGCCGTGCATATATGCCGTGCTGCCTCAGCCGTGATAAGAGCCCCTTGGCTGCTGACGAGCCATAGCTGAGGGGGGCAGAGAGGAGGGAGAGCAGAAGGAGCGAGGGACTTAGAATAAAAGATGCATTCAAGCTGAGCACACTACATTGCCCAGTGGCCGTGCGTATATGCCGTGCTGCCTCAACCGTGATTGGCTGCTGATGACCCGTACCTGTGGTGGGGGGATAAGGAGTATATATTGATTATTTATTTAACAGATTACACCACGTTGCCCAGTGGCCGTGCATGTATGCCGTGCTGCCTCAGCCTTGATAAGAGCCCCTTCGCTGCTGACGAGCCATAGCTGTGGTGGGGAGAGAAGGGGGAACAGAGAGCGCATGTGACGGGAATATGTCGTAACCTAGAAGGGGGAACAGAGAGTACACTGCATTGCCTAGCGGGTGCACGTGGATGCGATGCTGCCACAGCCGTGGCAGGAGACCCTTGGCTGCTGTCACCCGCGTGCAGTGAGGTGTATTTTGAGGCGCCTCAAAATACACCTCCGTGGCAGGAGACCCTTGGCTGCTGTCACCCCATAGCTGGGGGAGGAGAGAAGGAAAAGCAAAAGAGAACCTGCGTGCGTATATATGCAAAACGTGATACAAGCATTCCCGGAAGCACTCACCCTGCACCATCGGTCCTGAGCTCAGCCACAAAGACCGTTCCTATCGCCAGCACGCGCTGTATCGAGGGATGACAGGAGACCTGCTCCACTAACGAGGGGTCCCACAACTGCAGGGCGGTGTGAGAGAGAGGGAATGAGGGAGAGAGAGGGAATGAGGGAGAGAGAGGGGATGTGTGTGAGAGAGGCCCATGTGGGCGAAAGGGGAGCAGAGACAGAACGGTGCCTGGTTGAGCTTCCTATAGCCAGCACACGTTTTATTGAGGGGTGACAGGAGGCCTGCTCCACGAGTGAGGAGTCCCACAATTGCTAGAGGGAAGGGGAGAAAGGATGACAGAGACACAGAAGGTTGGGCGGTTTGCAAAATGCCCAGTCCCCACTGCGTCCCACTGGGCAGGGCACATCAAAATTCGTACGCGCGTTGGGAAGATAGAATTGCAGTCAGCTTAAGAACAGATTGTTTGAGAACTCTCAGGGATCATGTAGCTTAGCAACGTTGAGAAGATACCATTGAAGTCTGTCCAAGGACAGATTCAGCACAATTATATGACGCCAACATGCACGAGCTTTGGTAGAGGCATTGAACCGCGCAACGTGCTAAGTACATTGCTTAAAGGGCAGGGAATCTTAGGTGGCAGGCAGTGGGGTTAAGTACCTCATTTAGCTAATAGCCGTCCGGAAGGAGGTTGGGATTGCGAGCTGGGTCTGAAAGCGCATTAGAGCCACACAGGCAGCCACTTAGTTTGAGGCGCCTAAAAATAAAAAAAAAGGGGTTAACTACCTCTTTTAGCTGAGAGCCGTCAGGAAGCAGGTTGGGGTTTCGAGCTGGGTCTGACAGCGCATTGAGAGAAACACAGGCAGCTGCACAGCCAGCAGGATGGGCGGTGTAGGAGTGGCCGTGCAAGAGAGCATCGAGCTGGGATGCATACGGGAGGGAAGGGGAGGAAAGTGAAGTGTTTGAGAGCCACACAGGCTGCAGCACAGCCAGCAGGATGGGCGGTGTAGGAGTGGCCGTGCAAGAGAGCATCGAGCTGGGATGCATACGGGAGGGTGAAAGCAGGAAAGCGAAGTGTTTGAGAGACACACAGGCAAGCAGGCATACAGCCGGCAGGATGGAGATGTGTAGTAGTGACCGTGCAGTAGAGCATTCAACCGAAATTGAACGAGTACTATATACAAATATATACATATTTCAAAGTGTATATATATATATATGAAAATGGAAGTCAAGCTGCGGAGGACAAGCACGGACCAATGAGTGCGAAAGAGAGGGGATGGGTGGAGGAAAACGAAATGAATTGCTGGCAGGAGAGAAGACCAGATTGGTCTAGAGTCTAGAAAGACATTGTTCGGTTATAAGCAGCTTCGTTAAGGAAATACCTTGGAGGAGCCATAGAATGCGTCAAAGACAGAGGACGAGGCGAGTGTGACGGCCAATGGGATCATGCCAGCTGTCAGCAGCTTGGCATAGCAGGCTATGTCCGGGGAACAGCCCAGTAGCTCCGCTGCTGACTGGGAGGGGGGAGGAGAGCGAGGGAGAAAGGAGGAGGGATCGGAGGGAGAAGGGAGGAGGGGTGGGAGGGAGAAAGGGCGAGGGGTGGAGTGAGAAGAGAAGAGGGAAGGAGGGAGAAAGGAAGGGGGGAGGTTCAAACTGGACTGACAAAACATAATTTTGGAGCAGCAGTCAATGTCTGGGAAACAACCCAAGAGCTCTTGAGACGGGAGGTGGGTGAGAGGGAGCAGGGGGGTGATGAGAGGAAACGGGAAGGGGATCAGAGGTTGAGAGGCAAAACACCAATGTGGAGCAGCCGACAATGTCTGGGAAACAACCCAAGAGCTTTGCTGGTGAGTGGGAGAGGGAGGAGTGGGGGGGAGACGGGGGGAGGCGAGAACAGAAAAGGCAGGGGGGGATTGAGTGGGAGCAGGGGAATGATTGGAAACGGGAAGGGGATTATAGAGGTTGAGAGGGGGAAGGGAGTTGGCTAATGGCCGTTGTAGGTCGAATTTGAGAATTCTCAAATTAACCTAACACGTCAGCTATGACACATCCGATGATGGATACAGAGCTGGATGGCAGAGGGGCAAGGAGGAGAAGCAGGGCAGTGATGTAAGCCCACCTGAGAGCCGAGGCGCCAGCGGCCAGCAAACACTTCGTCAAAGATGACTGGGATGGCGTGGGCGCGGCAGGAAAGACATGCTGCCGCCCTCCACCCCTCTGCACCACTGTACACACCAGCAATACCTGAAGCTCACCTGGTGGCCCAGGCGCCAGCAGCCGGCAAACACTTCATCAAAGATGACCGGGATGGCTTGGGGGCCGCATTACGAGACACATGTGGCAACTTCCAATCCCCAGCGCCGTTAGACACACCACACCCCCACTGCAAACCCCACCTGGGAGCCGAGGCGCCAGCATCCAGCAAACACTTCGTCGAAGATGACTGGGATGGCGTGGGCGTGGCAGAGGGAGACACAAGTGCTTCCCACACACCCCCCAGCACTGAAACCCAACTGGGAGCCAAGGCGCCAGCAACCAGGAAACACTTCATCGAAGATGATTGGGATGGCGTGGGCGTGGCAGAGGAGACACGCTGCCAATCGATGACACATGTGCCACTTTCCAACCCCGCAGCACCATTAGACACACCCCACCGGCACTGCGAGCTCACCTGAGGGTGTCCCACTCGGACTCACCTGTGAGCCGAGGCGCCAGCAGCCGGCAAAGACTTCGTCAAAGATGACCGGGATGGCGTGGGCGCGGCAGAAAGAGACGAGCGTCACCCCTAACCCCCCACCCTCATCACCCCTGGAAGGAAACACAAGGCAAGCCCACCCTGGAGCCCCCACTTAAAGCCCACCCCACCTCACCTGGTGGCCGAGGCGCCAGCAGCCGGCAAAGACTTCGTCAAAGATGACAGGGATGGCGTGGGCGCGGCAGAAGGAGACGAGCGTGCGCTGGAAGAGAGGATCGATCATGACCATGCCACCCGCCCCGTGCAGCACTGTGGGAGTGTGGGAGAAGGCAGGGGAGGAGAGGGAGGGTTGTAATGCCCTTCAAGAGACGAGCGTGCGTTGAAAGAGCGGGTCGATCATGACCATGCCGCCTGCCCCATGCAGCACTGTGGGCACGTGAGCAGTGGGAGAAGAATGCAGGGGAGGAGGGGAGAAGTGGTTCTGAAGGGCCTGAACAGATGAGCGTGCGCTGGAAGAGGGGGTTGATCATGACCATGCCGCCCGGGGGAGGGCAGTGTGGTAGGAAGGGGAGTGATGAGGCTGGAAAGGAGGAAAAGACGAGGTTCTTCACGAGATGGGCAAGCGCTGAAAAGAGCGGGTCGAACAAAGCATGATGTACAGTTATGACAAGACAGAGGTGTAAGACAGACTTTTCGGTTCCCTAAGTACCGGGGCGAAGGTGAAAGGATGGTGGCAGGCGGGTGAAAACTGCACACACACCTGGTTCGATGATGAGCGCGGCGGCCATGGCACCTGAAAAACCACCTGAAGGGCCACCTGAGGAGGAGTCTGAGGGGAGGAGGAAGGGCTGGAGGTGGTGGTGTATGTAGTCATGGTAGAGAGGGGCGAGAGGGGAGGAGTCCCTTTCCTTGTGGAAGACTGCTGTGCGTGATTGAAAGGAGAGGTGGGGGGTGGGAGGGGCGGTAGAGGAGGAGGAGGAGGAGGAGGAGGAGGAGGAGGAGGAGGAGGAGAGGGCGGGGGGTAGGACAACGAGCCATTGACCTTGGGAGTACTCCACTGTTGGGGGATCAAGGAACACGCCCTTGCCTCCGTACCTGCGGGGTGCGACAAGAGAAAAGCGGAGTGTACCTTTTTTGGAGCGAGCGACAGGAACGAGTTGCTTGAAGCAGTTGCAACAGGTTGCGGGTGGTGGATACACACACACAATGTATGGGGATTGAATCTTAAAACACACCATGAATCAGTCAGAACTGTAGCCACCGCGGCCAATATGGAAAACAAGTAGTTAAACACTGTTAGTTCTCCTTAGCCAGCCTAGCATTCACATTGACTGCTGACGTGGCAATCACTCACCATGGCTGCTGCTGAAAGGAGGTGTACGGGGAGGGTGACTGGGCGTGCATGGCTGCCAGCGTGTCACCGTGGTACGATCCAGTCAGAGCAATCACCTGGTGACACGTGGCATGACAAGGAAGGAAAACAGAGTGCCAGAGTGAAATAGGGCTCTACAGCAAGAGATGAGACATGGGCATGCCGTGACAGTTTGGCTCACTAAGGGTCTAATGAGACATACTATCATGCCATGACAGCACATATGGCACATGCTGACACGAGCATGGCACATGCTGAGATGAGCACGGGAAGCACCTGGAAAGAGATAAGCACTCAAAAGCCAACCCAGAATGGTCTCAAACGTCACCATGCAACGCACCTTTGAAAGACATTTGACTTGACTCAAAATTCACCTCAATAAGACGCACCTTGAGAACTGGAAGACCATCGGGTCCTACACCAGTTCGCGTGCAGAAGGAGCGGAGGTTTTGAGTCGACTCAAAAGTGTGTTTTCAGCCGCCTCAAAACACACCTGGCACGCACCTTAAGATCTGGAAGTCCATCGGATCCTACACCGTTCCGAGCGCAGAAGGAGCGGAAGGCCATTTTGAGCGCCACCTCGATGGCTGTGGAGCCGTTGTCTGAGAAGAACACCCGCGAGGCCCATCCTGTGTGGTGCAACGTGGTGGGGTGAGGTGGAGCGGGGTGGTGTGAGGTGAAATGGGGGGCAATGGGGTGCCATTGGAATGCCGAGAGGCCATTTCATTTGAGAGCCACCTCAATGGCTGCAGACCCGTTGTCTGAGAAGAACACTCGATAGGCCCACCCTGTGCATTAGAGTCCTGTGGAAAGAAGTGAAAGCGAGCTCAAGGGGGAAGAAGGTGGTGGTGTTGGAGCTATTTTCTCGAGGAGCCACCTCGACGAGTGGTGTCAGAATATTCCATTCTCCACCAGCTAGCACACCCATCGAGTATCCATTCCTGACCCCTTCTTACCTTACCCAGCGCCCTTCAGCAGCAGCTCTGCAGCCTCAAGAGCCAGAGCGTGGCTGTTCTCAGGGAACATGACATGCCCGTATCGGGCCATGGCAGTGCCTATCTCCCTCGAGAGCTCCCCCTGCAGCACAGGGCTGGGCCCCTGGGTCCACCAGCTCGCACACCCATCAAATATCCCATGCATACCATTCCCAACCGCTTCCTACCGTTCCCAACCCCATCCCACCTTTCCCAACCCAGTCCTACCTCTCCCAACGCCCTTCAGCAGCAGTTCAGCAGCCTCCAGAGCCAGTGCGTGGCTGTTCTCAGGGAACATGACATGCCCGTATCGAGCCATGGCCGCCCCTATCTCCCTCGATAGCTCCCCCTGCAGGGCAGGGCTGGGCCCCTGGGTCCACCAGCTCGCACACCCGTCAAACCACTCTTCCAACCGAGCCTCTTCCCGAACCTCCGCCCGAGGCTCGGCCCGACCCTCGGTAGGGTTGTCCGACTGTGGCTCTCCCCGGAGCTCGGTCTGGTTCGGTCGGAAGATGGAGAAGTTTTCGCCTGCCCGGGAGTCGATGACTGACACGTCTTTCACTCCCACCATGCCATGCTGGGTGAACGGCCACCAGAGAATTTCATGTGCCCTTTCAGCTGCCCGTTCAAGTGCCTGCAACCTCTCCCCGTGGTACTGTTCCAACACCAGCACAAGTTCCTGGAAGCTTCCTTCCGATTTGCCGAGCCAATCGATGAGGTTCGGGTTGAGTGTGGAGTAAGAGGAGGGTTGGAACGAAGTAGTGGGACTAGAGGAGGGAGAGGAGGTGAGAGAGGGTGAGCTTGATTCAGATATGGGTGGTGGGGATGGCAGAGCAGGCAAGGAAATGACTGGAATCCTGTAACGGGATGAAGGGGAGAGAGTGGACGCAAGAAGAAAAAAGGCGGAGGAGAAAAAAGGCGCAAGGGAAAAAAGGCGGAAGGGAGTCAAAAACAGGAACTAACTATCTAGCTTTCAGTTGAAACAGAAAACTCCACCCATTGTCACTGCCCACTGCTCTCTCCTCCTCTCCTCATCCACTCACCCTCTTGAACTTATATACGACTTTATCCAGTCGTCCCTCTTCGTCCCCATACACACCATTGCTGCCATGGAATATACATACTCACCCCCTCCCTTTCCTCTTTGCAACTAACACGCCCTCAACCCCCCTCTTTTACCATCGCTTCCCCCTCAATCCCCCCCTAACCGCCCCCCCCCCCCCCTCCTTCCCATCCCCTGTCTTCTTTTCCCTCCTATCGTCTGCCCACTCACCCTCTCGGTCTTAAATACGTCTTTAGATAATCTGCGTTATCCAGCCGTCCCTCCTCGTCCCCACATACCACCACAGCTGCCACGTCATAGCCCCGCCCTGCCAGGCTGTCAACCGCTGCTACAGTGACCGAGATGCCGCCCAGCCGCCCATCTCCCACTAGAATACAAGGCAGGCGCAGGGGTCTAGCGTGGGTGGGATGGGGCATTGAGGGGAGGGATGGGGCATTGAGGGGAGGGATGGGGCATTGAGGGGAGGGATGGGGCATTGAGGGGAGGGATGGGGCATTGAGGGGAGGGATGGGGCATTGAGGGGAGGGATGGGGCATTGAGGGGAGGGATGGGGCATTGAGGGGAGGGATGGGGAAACAGATAGGAGCGATATGGGGCGGATAATTGTTCCAGGTGAGCATGCCCGCCCTCCCTAGGGTCACCTTGACTCATGCACTACTGCAGCCCTTCGAACATGAGTCAAGGTGACCCTTGGGATGGGGAAACAGATAGGAGCGATATGGGGCGGATAATTGTTCCAGGTGAGCATGCCCGCGCTCCCTCTCTGTGTCGGTTGTTCAAATCACAAAAGAGTTCTTATCACCAGTTTGAACAGTTTCATTATGTATGGGCTAGTGTACTTGTATCCAATGTGAACAGTTCGATTAGAAAAGTGGAGAGGTAGTATTCCCACCCACCTGTACAGATCAGCCTGCAGGGTTCCCGAGGGTCCCGGGCTCGCCACGCCCCCTGCTGTCTCAATCAGAACCCATCTACCACTGCTGCTAGTGTCACTGCCACTGCTGCTGCTGCTGCTGCCGCTACTATCCTTACTGTTGCTGTCGTTGCTGCTGCTCCTACTGCAGCTAACATACGATCTAAGAGCGTCCACCACAGCAGCATCTGCCGCCTCCTCCCCCGTCCCTTCCCCCCCCTCCTCCCCTGCTTCCGCTCCCTCTCCCTCTCCTCTCTCTGGAAGTTCTAGCACAGCTGCCCGGCTTTCCCGGGCAGCCAGGTGGGGAGAAACAGGGTCCTTCCAAGCCCATAGGGTGGAGCAGGTGAGCGAGACCGTGGGGCTGGGTGGCTGTAACGAGGGGTGATTATGGGAAGGGGATTGTGCTACTGTGGAGGGCGAGGGAGAGTGAGAGGAGATGGTGTGTGTGGTGGGGGCGTCGGAGTAGTTCGGGGAATGCAGTGTGAAGTGCAGGGACGACGAAACTGTGCTGCCAGAACTATCACCACTGCTGCTGCTGCTGCTGCTGCTGCTGCTGGTGGTGTTGCTGCTGGTGGTGTTGCTGGTGGTAGTGTTGTTGCTGGTGGTGGTGGCAGTTGTCCTGTCGCTACTGCCACTGCTGCTCCCAACGCAGTGGGCAGCAGCGAGCATCACCAGGCGAGCATCCGAATCTGGACATGTGTTCCATTCACACAGGGAGAAAGGCACACTCGCATTGCAAGACGAGGGCAATAAACAGCATGGACCGCAGTGCTGGACGGAATTGAGGCAAATCCTTCAGATTCAGAAGGTGTGAAGGCGAATGACGAAATATGGTAACTTTCGCATATAGAGTCACTACTAGCTCACCTTCAGGGTACCCTGTCTGCAGTGGTTTCACATACTCCAAATGGAATCCCCCGCAATCTCCTGCAGTTTCTCCCTGCACGCCCCTTCCCCCATCCGCTGCGCCCCGTCTACCTCCCCCGCCCCCTTCCGCGCCCCCTTCCCCCGCAGCTCGCGCAAGCAGCGCGACAGCAAGGCCCGCGGAAACGAGGGTCTTCCCCACGCCTGTGTTCGCGCCCCACACCACGAACGCGGGGGCCGACAGGGAGGTGGCATCTGGGGGAGGCGGGATCTGCCCCGCTGGCGCGGACGCTGTTGCTGCCGAAATCTGGCCCGAATTCGCGACCCCGCCGGAATTCGCAGCCGCTGATGCGATCACGGAATTCCGCGAGTTCGAATTGGACGTCGAACAGGAAGGATCGTGCAAAGCGGAATGGCGGCATCTTCTCCAGCATGGGAGTGGCATTAGAATCTCGCGCTTTACGAAGACTGAGCTCGGATTTCGACTTACGGAAAGCGCGGCAATCGACGAGCGACGTTCTCTCTCTAACGCCAGGTTCTTGTTCGTCCTATTTCTGACCAGAACGTCGCTGGCGAGATTCGATGACCTTGTTAACGTCGCCTGCCTTGAGGGATCGATCTGAAGGCAGTGGTTTCTGCAACACGCGGAATCGCATCGACGGACACGGGAAGCTGAGACGAGTCCTTCATGCGAAGCGACACTTGCGGTGGGGAGAGCTGCTGATGCCGCCATTGTCGCTATCGCTGCGATTGACGCTAAGGCTGCGAAACCTGCGAGGCTCAAGGAAGGGAATCCCGGACGGAAAACGGATAGACACAGAGGCTGACGGCCTGTGTGCTTGCTAAACGAAGTGTCTGTTTGAGAGGATTCGCTCAGGCAACGTGGCCAATTTAATTGGAACCGAAAGATGCAAGACTTTTGAACTGGATATCTAGCTTCGTACCCGGATGACAAGTTCACGCGACGCGCATCGCAATAAGCGCGTTTCGCGTGTCCTGCGGGGGTCTACTGCCAGGCGTGACAAGATCAAGGAATGCACTTCCTAGAGATTTTTAGGAAGAGGAAGGCATGACTACTCTTGTGTGTTGCTCATGCCGTTGTCAAGAAACCATGAGCGGAAGAATATGAAAATGGTCAGATGGCGATGGAGGAATTTGGGACACAATCGAGGTGAGGGGGGAGGCAGGCAGGCTGTTGACGTGATCTGTCAGCCCAATTTCGAAAGACCTTTTCGCGCCTGCCGCCAAACTTTGAGTGCTGCTGACGCGCGTTTCTGCTTCCTCGCCAGGCGTTGCTGCGGCCAATTGTGTAATAGGTCCTTGCTAAGTGCGAGGTTGGAAATTGGGACTCTTCACATGGGAACGCTAAGTGTTTGCAGTAACGCACAAGTACCAGCACTTCCACGTCACGGCTGGATGCGACCACCAGGTTCCATGTCAGCTAGCTGAGTCACGGCCAGCTCAACCATTCCGGGAAGCCAAGAAGCAGCTCCTCTTCCTTGGGAGCTCCGCTTTCATTCGTTAAGTACGCGATTGTGAGCTTCAACTCACTTCCTCTAACGAAGCTGGTATCCATGTACTAACTGTAGCGCCAAGTAAATAACATATTTCATTCCCAACGTCTCTGATCATCGTTGGGAGAAATTGCTTCACTTCCCCTCCGTTTTATTTCTCAAGAATGGGCGGTCTCCCGTCCATTCCAGAGAAATTGATAGTTTCCGCTCGCCCTTCCTTGATTTCTCCAGAAGCTCGACCGATTCGGTATCACTGCGACACGAAGGCATCAAAACCTCGTGATACGCATTTCTGATTCCCCGTGAAACGCGATTTTCCGCGCCACCTACCTGACCCATTCCGTGGCAGCGGCATTATGGAGGACGGCCCGAGTAAAATCCGCAGAATATGCGTCTATTGCGGCTCGAGTTCCGGTTCTAATCCCGTCTATTGCGAAGCGGCAGCGGAGCTCGGTCGCGAAATCGCGGCCCGAGGATTCGATCTAGTGTATGGGTCAGGTAGCATAGGCCTGATGGGTATAGTCGCGCGAACTGTGCACGAAAACGGGCGGCATGTGCTAGGGGTAATTCCCCACGCGCTCGTGCCTCTGGAGGTATCTGGGCCGTCCGTTGGCGAGGTGCGATTGGTTCGAAACATGCACGAGCGAAAGGCGGAGATGGCGAAAGCAGCTGACGCGTTCATCGCTCTGCCAGGTCAGCAACGATTTACACGTCGTTCATCCACTGCGTTCCACTTTCTCTCACCGTCCTTCGCGCTCCCTATCCTTCGCCATTAGTATTTAAAACCCGAGGTCCAAATGTTTCAAAGTTAGGAAGGTTGGCTTTTACGGGAATCTGCATTTTCTTCTCCGCCTCCCATTCTATCCCCGTCTTCTATGCCCTCACTTCCTCCTCCACATTCTCTTCTTCCGCCTTCCACCTTAATACGCGTTCTGCAGGTGGGTACGGCACGCTAGAGGAGCTTCTGGAGATGGTAACCTGGTCGCAACTCGGCATTCACGACAAGCCGATCGCCGTGCTCAACGCCAACGGCTACTTCGACTCGCTGCTCGCCTTTTTCGACCGCGCCGCGCAGGAGGGTTTCGTGAACGCGACGAATCGTAGCATCGTGATGGCGGGTCGCACGGCCAAGGAGGTGCTGGATTTGATCGAAGCGTTCGACGCGGATAGCCGAGGCGCGTTGCTGGCGAAGGAGCGGTGGCATGGCAACGAAGGTTCGGGATCTGGGATTGATGGGGTGACCAAAGAGGAGATGGTGAAGGCTGTTGTCGAACCCTGATTGTACTGTACCCACTTGAGGTGAATTCATTATGATTTGTTGTCTCGATTTCCTTGACACCTACCGTTTATATACCGAGAAATGTGATACTTATGTTTTGCAGTTTCAGCTGGGAGCAAGTAGTACATCTTGAAGGTTCATTCAAAGATAGTAACGGGTGAACTATACTCAGTTAAGCAAAACACCAGGACAAACAAAGAAACATACGGAGGTTTAGGACTGAAAGTGCTAGGAAAAGGAGGAGCAAATCCTAGTGCGGTTCAACGTGCCTCGACTTTCCATGTTCACAGCACTAGTTCCCCTCGTCACCAACCAGCACATACCTAAGTGCACGCTCTGCAATACTGCCATGCAGAAAGACATGAAAACATCTCGCTCAACCACGTTACCAGCACTTCCAGAGGTACCCAGGCAGGCAGCCAGCAGATCGCATCCCAACCACTCTCCACCAGCTGCAACTCCCCTCTCAACCATTTCAACCGCGGTTCCTGAGGTGAGGCGGCACCCACTTCTTGGCCGCCCCTGCACCCGCAGCCGGCGCCGCTTCTGCTGCCGCTGCTGCTGGCGCTGCTGCTGCCGGGGCACTCGGCCTCTCCCACTCCCTCTCCCTCTCCCCAGCACCACCAGAAGCAGCGGTGCTACGAGAAGGAGGCTCGTACCTTCCTGCTGGCCTCCTGTCCTCAACCTCCCTCCCACGATCCCCGACCCATCTCCCCCCGTCTCCCGCCCCAACTGCCCCTGCGGCACCAGCACTACCCCTGACAGGCGGAACGTATTTCCCTGGCGCCCCAGCAGCACTCGCACCAGCACCAGCACCAGCAGCAGCAGCAGGAGCCCTGTCCCTGGACCACCGATCCTCCTCCGCACCTGCGCATCCGGAGGGCGGAGCCTCGCCGGCAGGTCCGGCGGATGCCGAGCCTCCGCCGCGGGCGGCGCGGAGCGCGGGCGGGACAAAGGTAGAGGTCTTGCGCTCGGCGGCAGCAGCAAGAAGGTCGTCCCGCTCCTTGCGGGCTTTCTCCTCGGCCTCCTGCTCCCTCTGGCGCTGCTTCGCTGCCATCTCTTCGAGCTTCTTCAGCCGCTCCTCCTCCTCCTTGCGCTTGCGCTCCACCTCTGGCGATGGGTTGGAATTAAGGGAAAACGCAGCGGGAACAGAAAGGGAACAAAGAGGGAACACAGAGGGAATGCATGGAAGGGAGTGAGTGAGGGAGCGCGGGCGGGACAAAGGTAGAGGTCTTGCACTCGGCGGCAGCAGCGAGAAGGTCCTCTCGCTCCTTGCGCGCTTTCTCCTCGGCCTCCTGCTCCCTCTGGCGCTGCTTCGCTGCCATCTCCTCCAGCTTCTTCAGCCGCTCCTCCTCCTCCTTGCGCTTGCGCTCCACCTCTGGTGTGGGTTAGAATCAGGCAAGAATACAGAGGAGATGCGGAGGGAATGGGGAGGGAACACAGAGGAAACGCAGAGGGAATGCATGAAAGGGAGTGAGTGAGTGAGGTTTGAAGGAGCTCTTCCTGCTCCCTATGCCGCTGCTTCGCTGCCCTCTCCTCCAGCTTCCTCAGCCGCTCCTCCTCCTCCTCCTTGCGCTTGCGCTCCACCTCTGGTGAGTTCAAATTTAGTGAGAATGCAGGGGAGACGCGGAGGGAATGGAGGGAGAACGCAGTTGGAATGCATGGAAGGGAGTAAGTGGTTATGAAGCGAAAGGAGAAGAGATGGAGAATGTAGGAAGGGGACGGTGGGGAAACGGGAAGGGGAGCGGAAACGGGATGGGGACGGGGAGGGGATAGGGACGGAAAAAAAAAAAAACAAAAAAACAAAAAAAAAACTGCAAGAAGAGGGAGTGCACTGGCACCAGCGCTACTCACCTTCCCGCTTGCGCCTCTCTGTCTCCTCCCAGGCCTTGAGCGCCTTGGCCTCCTCCTGCCGGCGGAACATCTCCCTCTTGCGCAGCATCACCCTCTCCGTGCGCCGCAGCTCCCTCAGCTCTGCCAGCTTCTCCTCCCTCTCCCTCTTCAGCCTCTCAAACTCGCCGCGGCGACGACCGACAACTTGCTCCTGGAACTCCTCCTGTGAGGGAGAAGAGTTGGGCACGGATTGACAAGGGCAAGAACGGTGAGAAGGGACAAGCGAAAGCCTTTTTTCCCATTCTCTCAACATCAGCTCCCTCGGTTCCCCCAACACCCTCAGCTCTGCCAGTTTTTCTCCTACATCTCCCTCTTCAGCCACTCAAACTCGCCCCGCCGCTGCCCCACAACTTGCTATTGAAACTCCTCCTGTAGGGTGAAGCAGCTAGGGGTGGAAACGTGTGAAAGGAGACGTGTGAAATATAAAGGACAACATTTCTCCTCTCCTCCCTCTCCCGCTTCAGCCTCTCAAACTCGCCGCACTGCCTCCCCACCACCTACTCCTGGAACTACTCCTGGAACTACTCCTTTCGACATGCAGGACCTGGCTGGCTGAGAAGATCCGCAATACTCCTCTCTCACTTTAACCCCCCAGCATGCACGACAGGCGGATCTTCTCAGCCAGCTCCTGCACTCAGATATCTAAAAAAAAAGTACCTAGAATACTCCTCTCTCACTTTAACCCCCCCCCCCCATGCGCACGAGGCGGATCTTCTCAGACACGTCCTGCTCGTGCTGCATCTTGCTCTTCCCGCCCACTTCCCCGTTTCCCCCCTTGCCCTCCCCTGTCCCCCGTCCCCTGTCTCCGGTCCCCCGTCTCTCTCCCCCGTCCCCCTTCCCACCTCCCCTAGCCAACCTTATCCACCAGCATGCGGGTCAGCCGGATCTTCTCAGCCAGGTCCAGCTCGTGCTGCGTCTTGCTCTGTACGAGCAGGTCTTGCTCTTCCCTCTCATGACCCCTTTTCCCCATCCCGCCTTCCCCCAGCTCACCTTATCCCCCAGCATTTTCGAGAGGCGGATCTTCTCAGCCAGGTCCAGCTCGTGCTGTGTCTTGCTCTGCGCTCCCACTTCCCCTTTAACACATTTGGCCTTTCCCCCCTCCCCCAACCTACCTTATCCACCAGCATTTTCGAGAGCCGGATCTTCTCAGCCAGGTCTAGCTCGTGCTGTGTCTTGCTCTGCGCCGCTGCCTCCGCCTGCTGCTGCTCGAACCACGACCGCTCCTCCACCAGCCTCTGCTGGTACGCTGCTTCAAGAAGGGGTTTCTCCTCCTCCCTGCGCGCCCTCTCCAGATGATCCAACGTGCGCACCTGGGGGGGAGGGGGGAATGGGAAGGTGAGGGGGATGGAAAAGGGAAGGAGGAGATTAGCCCCACCCAGCATACGCCTGCTGCTGCTCCAACCACGACCTCTCCTCCACCAGCCGCTGCTGGTATGCCGCCTCCAGCAGGGGCTTCTCCTCCTCCCTGCGCGCCCTCTCCAGGTGATCCAACGTGCGCACCTGGGGAGAATATAGATGATAAGGGTGGGTAACACATGGGAACGAGAGGAAGGTGAGGGACAGAGAAAACCACTGTGCTGGAAGTGAAGCGTCTCCTCCTCCTTGCATGCCTACTGCAGGCGACCCTACCTGAGCAGATGCTGAAGAAGGGGAAAATAATAATCAGAAATCACTCCCCCTCACCAGCTTCTGCAGGCGCCTCTCCGCCTCCTGCTTCTCCTTCAGCTGCTCTGAGAGCGAGGCACCTCCAACCAGCGCCATAACACAGCGAGGCACCTCACCAGCTTACCCAAACCAGACTAGCAGCAAACAAATCAGAGTGTCAACCCGACCAACGACCCACACATCACATCACATCACATCATATCACAGGCCTCTCACCAGCTTCTGCAGGCGCCTCTCCGCCTCCTGCTTCTCCTTGAGCTGCTCTGAGAGCGCCTCCTCCATCAGCTGTCGCTTGTCCAGCCGCATCGTGTCCTGCTCGGGGGGAAATGGGCAGCAAAATGTGGCCAAGGCAACAATGAGAAAAAGGAGCAATGGGGTTTACATGGATCATCATCAGCAGCAGCTATCTGCCAAACCCCTGCTGGATGCGCTCCTCCTTCCACCCCCCAAGCTTACCAGTTCCCACAAAACATCAGAAGAAAACCCGAACATCCCAACCCATCCGCCTATGTCTGACCTCGATGTTCTTCTTGCCTTCCCGCTTAAACTCCCATATGCTAATCATTCTGCCTGAAACTCTGAACCCTAACACCACCACCCCACTCACCTCGATGTTCTTCTTGCCCTTCTTGCCCTTCCTCTTCTCTGCCTCCAGCAGCAGCTGCCTCGCCCCCTCCACATGTGCACCTCCCTTCGCTTCCTTCCCACTCCCGTCCCCACTACCCTCCACCCCCACCACTCACCTCGATGTTCTTCTTGCCCTTCTTGCCCTTGCGCTTCTCCGCCTCCAGCAGCAGCTGCCTGGCGTCCTCACCACATGTGCTCCTCCTTTCCCAACTGCCAACACTCCAGACCTACCCATCATCCTGGAACAACAGAAGAGCATCCCACTGACCTCGATGTTCTTCTTGCCCTTCTTGCCCTTGCGCTTCTCTGCCTCCAGCAGCAGCTGCCTCGCCTCCTCACCAGATGTGCCTCCTCCTTTCACTCCCTTCCCCACTCCCTCCCCACTCCCTTCCCAACTACCAACACTCTAGACCTACCCATCCTGGAACAACAGAAGAGCATCCCACTCACCTCGATGTTCTTCTTGCCCTTCTTGCCTTTGCGCTTCTCCGCCTCCAGCAGCAGCTGCCTCGCCTCCTCCAGCTCCTTCGCCTCGATCTCCCGCCGGATGCGCTCCTCCTCCCTGCGAGCCGACTCAGCCGCCAGCCTCTTTGCCTCCGCCTCCTCTGTCAGCCGCTGCTGCTTCAGCTTCGCCGTCTGCTCCTCGCGCTCCTGGATACAATAAAAAGAGGAAAGGAGGATGAGCCAAAGTGAATGGTTTCGGGTTTAGGAAGAGAATGAGCCTAAACCCGAAACCCGAAACCCGAAACCATTTAAACTAGCAGTTTCCCTACTCATTACAACCTAAAGCCAAACCCTTTCTCAATGACCTCCTG